AAGTCTATAATCCCAGCACTTTGGGAGGCCGAGGCGAGAGGATTGCCTGAGCCCGTGGGTTTGAGATGAGCCTGGGCAATATGGTGAGACTTCGTCTCTACAATAAATAAAACAATTGTAGCTGGGTGTGGTAGTGCGCATCTATAGTTCCAGCTACTTGGAAGGCTGAGGCAGAAAGATCGCCTGAGCCCAGCAGTTCGAGGCTGTGGTGGCTGGAAGCATGCTACTGCCCTCCAGCCTGAGTGACAGAGTGAGATTCCAACTCAAAACAAACAAACAAACAAAACACTGCAGGACCCCTTCTTGTCCTGTATACTCTCCCTATGTATTGTTATCTACTCCTATGGTTCCAATTATGATCACTGTGCTGATGAATCTCAAGTGTTTATCTCTAGCTTAATCCACCAAACTTCCATTCCCCCATTATCAGGACCATTGCTCTAGACCAGATAACTTTTACTTCACACATGAGCACTGTGGCTCATGTCTACAATCCCAATGCTTTGAGAAGGAAGAAGCTCGCTTGAGGCCAGGAGTTCAAGAACAACTTGGGCAACACAGTGAGATCTCAGTGCTACAAAAACATAAAAAACTTAGCCAGGCATGGTGGCATGTGTCTGTAGCCCCTACTACTCAGGAGGCTGAAGGTGGAAGGATTGCCTGAACCCAGAAAGCCAAGGCTGTGGCATGCTGTGATCATGCCACTGCACTCCAGCCTGGGCAACAGAGTAAGACCCTGACTCAAAACAAACAAAACAATATCTATATTTTCATCCATTACTTACATTACGAATACTTTCCAGTAGCATCTTATCATAGCATCTTAGTAGGCCTTCTCTTTCTTAAACTCTTACAATGAACCACCTTATTAAGTCTCCCATCATCTGGCTCACTTAATGCTTCCAAGAAGTATCTCTCATTAAACCCACTTTTGGGGATCTTGCAGAGCCTACTATCTAATGTCTGTACAAAGACCATTCTTTTCATCTACTAGATAACTGAGTCTTTACATTGACTTTACTTAAAGGCAGTGAGCAAGATAAGGTCTTTGCTCTTATGAAGCTGATAGAAAATAAGCAAGAAAATATCAGATAGTAATAAACCTTGAAGAATCACAAGACATACAGATAATTTAATCAGGTTGCTATGACAGAAAATGGATGACTACTTCAGATGGGGGACCGGTAGAGGCTTCCCTGATAAAGTCATATCTAAGTTGAAACCCTGAATAGCAAGGAGAGGGTCAAGTTTCCCAGGCAAAGAGAATAGCTAAAACCTGCTAAGGTGGGAACTCAAAGAAAGTTTACATGGTGAAATGTAGGGTAAGGAGGCGAGTAGAATAAAATAAAAACTGGAGAAGTTTTATACAGCAGTAAATTATTATTTTTTCCTTCCTGAGATGAGGTCTCACTATAGTGTCCAGATAGGTCTCAAACTCTTGGGATCAAGTGATCTTCTTGCCTCATCCTCCTGAATAGCTGGGACTACAGGTGTGTGCTGCTGTGCCTAGCCCACACATTTTTTTTTTTTTGAGTTGGAGTTTCACTCTGTTGCCCAGACTGAGAACCTGCTGGGCTCCAGCGATCCTTCCGCCTCAGCCTTCCAAGTAGCTGGAACTGCAGGCGCGCACTACCACGCCAGCTAATTTTTTTTGATTTATTGTAGAGATGAGGTCTCGCCAAGTTGCCCAGGTGGGTCTCGAACCCGTGGGCTCAGGCAATCCACTCACCTCAGCCTCCCAAAGTGCAGGATTACAGGCTAAGCCACCGAGCCTGGCTAGCCCATACATTTTTAATATTTTGATATAGTCTCCTCTGTAATCCTATGTATTTATATTTTATACATTTAAAAACATTACTCTGCCTGGCACGGTGGCTTATACCTGTAATTTCAACACTTTGGGAAGCTGAGGTGAGAGGTTTGCCTGAGCCCAGGGGTCCAAGACCAGCTTAGGCAACCTGGCGAGACCTCATCTCTACAATAAAACAAAAAATTAGCTGGGCATAGTGGCCTGTGTCTGTAGTTCCAGCTACTTGGAAGACTGAGGTGGAAGGATCACCTGAGTCCAGCAGATTGAGGCTGTGGTGGCCCTGAGTGTGCCACTGCACTCTAGCCTGGGTGACGGAGTGAAACTCCAGCTCAAAAAACAAAACAAAACAAAACAAAAAACCAAAGAAAAAAAAACAATCCCCCCAAAACAAATCTCCTATTACTCTTAGAAGAGATCCATCTATGGGTTTCACCAGACTGCCATGGGGTTCATGGTACAAAAAATGTAAGAATTATTGATGCAGAGCTTTACAAGACTTGCTAAGGAGCACTTAATTTTTGGTTTTTTTTTTTTTTTTTGAGTTGGAGTCTCACTCTGTCACCCAGACTGGAGTGCGGTGGCTGCTCCCAGCCACTGCAGCCTTGACCTGCTGGGCTCCAGCGATCCTTCTGCCTCAGCCTTCTGAGTAGCCGGAATTACAGGCACACGCTACCCATGCCTGGGTGATTTTTTGATTTATTGTAGAAATGAGGTCTCGCCAAGTTGCCAGGGCAGGTCTCGAACCCGCGGGCTCAGGCAATCCACTCACCTCAGCCTCCCAAGGCACGGGATTACAGGCTGAGCCACCGAGCCCGGCTAATTTTTTTTTTTTGAGTTGGAGTCTCACTCTTTCGCCCAGACTGGAGTGTAGTGGCCACTCCTGGCCACCGCAGCCTCAACCTGCTGGGCTCCGGCGATCTTTCCACCTCAGCCTTCCAGGTAGCTGGAACTACAGGCACGCGCTACCACGCCCGGCTCATTTTTGATTTATTGTAGAGATGAAATTTTTGTTTTTTTAAAGACAGGGTCCTGCTCTGTTACCCAGGCTGATGTGGCGAGATCATAGTTCACTGTAGAATCAAACTTGTGGGCTCAAGTGATCCTCCCACCTCAGCTTCCTGAGTAGCTGGGAGTACAGGAATGTGCCACCCTATCTGGCTAATTAAATTTTTTTTTTTTTTTTAAGAGATGGGGTCTTGCTATGTTCCCCACATGGGTCTCAAATTCCTGGCTCAAGTGATCCTCATGCCTTGGTCTCCCAAAGTGCTAGGATAAGCCAGGCTCAGTGGCTCTGCCTGTAATACCGTGCCTTGGGAGGCTGAGGTGAGTGGATTGCCTGAGCCCGCGGGTTCG